TCATCCTTGACATTCACAAGTCATTCAGTAAAATGCCTCTTTTTCCAGGAACCTAATATGTGTGGCATGTAATGAAGATCAGAGTTATAAAGAGCAGTGTAGGCCCTTTTAAAGGCAACTTGGAAAGCTTTCAAAAAAGTATACAGCTTGTATACTAGCTTATTTTTATCTCTGAAAAAATGTAACAATGTCCTTAAAATATTTAATATGGAACATGTTAAAACAAGCATAGAGATTAGCTGGGTGACATTCCCTACCATACTGGGATGTAATAATCTGAAAGATCACTAAGTAGCAGCAAAGAGTACAGAAAATTGCAATTCATTATTGCCATCTAGTGTTTTTCCAGATAATTACAGGCTAGATATGATAGTCCTAGTTAAGCTGCTTGCAAAAGACACCATCAGTAACCTTTAGCCTACTTGGGAGAATGGCTTTAGTAAACCATTCACATAACCATATTAGCAGGTCACCAAAAGTTTATAGAACTAGCATTTCTTTTCAGGCTGTTCTTGGTGGAAAAATAACTCTTGCTACTGCTTTATACACTTGTGGAGCCTATTCAACTAATTCAGAGAAACAAGAAGCTGCCAACAACATGTTCTTTTGCTCTTTATGTCAGATCATTGTAAGTATTTTACACAGACCACTCATTCAAAGAAATGTTTCACCAGAATGAAATCAGCCAGGAATTTCAGTTGATCTTAAAAATTTTCATTGTAACGCAATATTTAAGAAATTAATAAATTGTACATTTATATTGTGTTAGTCAATAGCTGGAAAATGCCAAAATCCATTTACTGTCAATTCTATGTCAAGTGCCTTACATTTCTGTCATTATTTTTTACATTACAAAACTCCTGCTTGTTAAAACTAACATAATTAAAACACTTTCTTTCGCTTATGATATTAAGCTGCTGCTAAGCTGAAAATTGCCAAGATAATAGAAATGTGTCAATCAGAAACCTCTTAATTCTACTAATTATAAACCTGCCTCCTGCTTTAGACAGCATTCAATTGATTGATTGATTGATTATGTGCCATCAAGTCAGTGTCAGTGCTTAGTGACCCCAAAGATAGATTTTTTTTCCTATCTTTCCAGAGAAACCTAGTCTTTCAGACCTTCCAATAGCGTACCTGTTGCTGCTTTAATTGAATCTATCCATTTTACTGCAAATCATCATAATGTCTCTTTTCTTCCACTTTATAAAACTCTCCAGATAGCTAGGTCTTTGCATAGTATGTCCAAGTATGATTTGAGCATGGTTATTTGTGTCTTAAGCAGAGGTGGTATTCTACTGGTTTGGCCGGTTCACTTGAATTGGTAGCTCTGACTTCAAGCTGAGAGAAAACCGGTTCTCTGTTTCTGTGAAAGTGGACCTGCCTGCCTGCCCCTGCATTATACAAATCTTTATTTCTGCTCCTGAAGCCCAGCTGATCAGGGTTGGCAGATTGAATTGCCACTCCTCAGCTGTTTTCCTTGCTCCTTTCCTTGTTTTCAATGCGGAAGTTCAATTTTATCTTAACTGCACATGTGCGCTCAGAGAACCAGTAGTGAAGCCAGTAGGATCCCACTCCTGGTCTTAAGTGATCATTCTGGATTAATTTGCACAATGAGCTTTTTGTTCTTTACATAGCTTTCCATGATATTACCTGGAGTTTCTAATGCAAAAGTCCAAAAACACTGATACTCTTTCTAACTTGCTACTCAAAAGCCAAATTTTCTTCCATCTTTCCCAAAGTCTTCGTGGCTATTTTGTCTATTTTGCCTTCTTCTTGACTGCTGGTTCCTTTACTCTTGATAGTTCATTCTAAAAGGCAGAAACTATCTACCCTTTAATATTTTATTATCAGTCCTAAGGCTGATTGTTTTAGCTATTGTTGTTAGTTTGCTATGTTTAATCTTAACTCCATTTCTTTGCTATGTTCCTTGACTTAACTAGTGTTTACAGATCAACTACATTTTCAGTCGCCAGAGTAGTGTCATGAGTGTAGCATATTATAGGTTATTGGTAATTTTTGTTCTAGTTTTGAAGCCAAACGGATCTTGTTTTTCAATATATATTCAAATAAAGGGAAAATAAATAAGGAGATAGCATACAGCCTTGTTTCACTCCTTTGCCAACTAGGAGCCACTTTATTTTGCCATGTACTCAAAAACTATTGTCTATAGTTTTTCCTGAGGGCAAGAAAATGTTCTGGGATTTCTAATTTTTTCTAAAGGCATCCCACAGCTTAATATTCAGCATCCATATTGACTTTTTGAGGCTGTTCTTTGGCTTTCTCAATTATTAAACAGACATCAGCAATGGGCTTCTTAAAAGCCATCTTGTACATCTGCCATTTCCATTTCCATGTAGGCTCTGTTTGCATTGGATGAATTTAATCATTATTTTGCTTGCATGTGAAATTAAGGATATGATAGCTTGCATGATAGTCTCTTTCATTTGACAGTGACCTCTTCCAATGGTCAGTCGATATACAGGATTTAGCCAATGTGCATTCTACAAATTTGCTGGTTTAGCTTGATTATAACCTTTACCTATTCTTCTTCTATTGCTTGAAGTATTTCTGTAGCTATTCCATATTTCTGTAGTTGTCTGACTTGGTAATGACCAGAGTGTTAGGTCTCAATTTATTTTCCAGTACTAGAGGTTCTTCTGAGTCAGGGGTGTCAAATTCAAGGCCCATTGGCCGCATCTGGCCTGCAGAGTGCTTAGATCTGGCCTGCGGGGCTGCCCTGGAAACAGGGAAGGACAGCCCGCCACAGCCCACCTGAGCTCTGTTTTTACTGGCAGAAGATTGTAGGAGAATGGGAATCCATTTTCACTGGCAGAGCTCTCAGGCCACCACAGGTGCCCCCGACATGAGTGATGTCGAGCTGCCCATGCCATGCCCACCCTGGCCATGCCCACCCTGTACCCCCAAGGTCAAATAATCCTGATGCGGTCCTCAATGAAATCAAGTTTGACACCCCTGTTCTAAGTAATGTAAAGCTTCATTAGATGTGTTACTGAAATTGGAGTATCATCTTATAACCTTCAGATTACTGCCGGGTGACTTCTGAAGAAGAGGAATTATCAATGCATTAAATTTGAATTAGCTGTGAGAAATCATGCAGATGTATGCTGAGTACAGCAAGCAATGTTTTCTCCACAGCAAAACTGAATTGCTTTTATGCAGTTTTAAGGGATCACTTGAGCAATCCTTAAGCTGCACTGCACAAATGATGAGGCTGAACCAGAATCTTTCATTTTTTCACACATACATGCATGCACACGCAGAGCAGATGTAGAATTCAGAATTGCCTTTCAGAGAAACCTGATCACAAAGTGACTACTGCTGAGTGGGCCATTTCAACTCAAATCTGCCGTCTTGAAAAACAGTGGTGCATATGCTGCAGAAGTGTCACTTTAGACTAATGATTATGAATTATGTAGAGGGTCACATCCTCTTAGTTACAAGTCATTTCCACAGTTTCTCCCCAGAGTGCCTAACCTAGTTCCATTTTTATCCTTTTAGCTCTTAGCAACAATGGCTTCAAATAGATTCTCAAAGCTGCATTTATTGACATTTGATTTATTCTGCTTACTAGCACTAGGAAAAGCAGNAAAGCCCACAGGCCTTAGAAGGTGCCATGTTTGGAGACCCCTGGATTAAAGGGCCCTTTTGTCTCTCTCTCTCTCTCCCCTCTCTGTGTGTACAAATCTCTCTTTTTCTCAATCTCTCTCCACTTTCCCTCTGTCTCTTTCTGTCTCTCTCTCCTATTTCTTCCTATCTCTGTCTCTCTCTGTTTTTTCCCCTCTTCTCTCTCCTATTTCTCTCTCTCTCTCCTCTCTTTCTCTCTCTGTCTCTCTCTCCTATTTCTTCCTATCTCTGTCTCTTTCTTTCTTTTCTCTCTCTCTATTTCTTTCTCTCCTCTCTTTCTCTCTCGTCTTTCTGTCTTTCTGTCTTCTCTCTCCTATTTATTTCTCTCTCTATCTGTCTCTCTCCTATCTCTTTCTCTCTCTCTCTCTCCTCTCTCTTCTTTCTCTCTCTTTCTGTCTCCTATTTCTTCCTATCTCTGTTTCTCTTTCTTTCTTTCTCTCTTCTCTCTTTCCTATTTCTTTCTTTCTCGCTTTGTTTCTCTCTTCTCTCTCTCTCCTCTTTCTCTCTGTCTCTTTCTGTCTCTCTCCTATTTCTTCCTATCTCTCTCTCTCTATCTTCTCTCTCTCCTATTTATTTCTCTCACTCTCTCTTGTCTTTCTCTCTGTCTCTCTCTTTGTGGTATGTATATAAATCTCTCTTTCTCTCAATCTCTCTCCTCTTTTTCTCTCTGTCACTCTCTCTCATCTCTCTGACTCTCTCTCTATTTCTTTCTATCTTTCCCCTTTCTCTCTCTCTCCTCTTTCTCATGTCTTTCTCTCTGTGTCTCTCTCTTTGTGTGTGTGTGTATAAATCTCTTTCTCTCAATCTCTCCTCTTTCTCTCTCATGTCTCTGTGTCTCTCTCTTCGTTTCTATGTGGATAAATCTCTCTCAATCTTTCTCCTCTTTTTCTCTCTGTCTCTTTCTCTCGTCTCTCTCTCTCTTTCTATCTTTCCCCTTTCTCTCTCATGTCTTTCTCTGTGTCTCTCTCTTTGTGTGTGTGTGTATAAATCTCTTTCTCTCAATCTCTCCTCTTTCTCTCTCATGTCTCTGTGTCTCTCTCTTCGTTTGTATGTGGATAAATCTCTCTCAATCTCTCTCCTCTTTTTCTCTCTGTCTCTTTCTCTCGTCTCTCTCTCTCTTTCTATCTTTCCCCTTTCTCTCTCATGTCTTTCTCTCTGTGTCTCTCTCTTCGTTTGTGTGTGTGTATATAAATCTCTCTTTCTCTCAATCTCTCTCCTCTTTTTTTCTCTCTCTCTCTTTCTCTCTGTCTCTCCCTCTCGTCTCTCTCCCTCTGCTCTCCTCTTTCTCCCACTCTCAGTTTCTCTCTCTCTCACACACACACACACCAGAACACCCCTGTGGAATTCCACACCTGTACACCAGGGCAAGAATATTCAGCATCGTTGCCACATCGGGGTGATCGTGGCCCGACGTTTTCTCAAGATCCTCCAGGGCCTGCTTGCAGAGTGGGACCGCCACCTCGTAGCGCCCCTGGGAAGCGTACTGGATCACCAGGTTGTGCAGGGTCCGTAGACGGGCCGGGATCTCGTAGCCACCCTGCTGGGCT